TTTTTTACCCAAGACCTCTCAGAGGAAGAGCAAATGCATGACCAAAATCTGCCAGAACCAACTCCTCAAGATCTGGATCTCAACTACTTTTCCACATAATGTTTCAGAAAACCTTAGTAAAGCAAAGATGGTAGAAACATAAAACCGATGCTGTCCCTACTAACCTTTGAACCATAAAAGAGTGAGTGGTGCCACCTATCTTGTATCGCCATCTCCTTGTTTTATTGGGGTGGTTGAGCTCGAACAACCACCGATCTAGGTTATTAGCAGGTACCACTGACTGTGCACTCCAAAGAACTGACTGTGGGCCAGATTTAAGTCCTACATGCAGGGGCGGATTTACCATTAGGTAAAACTAGGCAGTTGCCATAAAACTCCTTTTCCATACAGCTATTACTTATTTGTGCACATTAATTATGTTTTTAATAAAAATCCCTTCATTAAAAATGCCATCAGAATGCTTATAATATTAAGTGTGTCTCAGGCACAGGTGTATTTCAGACCCCTCTAGTGCTTTTATTTCAAAAAAGCCCCTAGCACCAAAACTAGTGGCCTTTTTCTGCTACTGGAGACTTTGGTCCCAACATATAAAAGCTGCTCTTCAGAGCAAGTAGATTGGTAACTCTGCCTCTTGCTCTCCTCTATCTTGTCCGCTGTCATGATTCATGCAGCTATTATTTCATACAAATGAAAAATGGAGAACAGATTAGCAGATCATAGCTTGTCTACAGTGGAAAGGAGGACTGGGTTATTTACTTTTGCTGTCGCCTTTTTGGAAACACAGTAAGGAGCAATCGGTTAAGCAAGCTTAGTTTCATTCCTTTTGAAACGACATGAAAAGTCAGCTGAGTACAAAACAGAGGAAAACAAGAAAAGGGACAAAACATAGAACAAATAATGTATGTCTATTATATAAAAATTTCTGTATCTGTATAATGGGTCTGTTTTATGTTTTGTCTTCTTAATTCAGAGGGCCCCCTGCCTGTCTTTGCCTAGGGCCCCAAATTTCCTAAACCCGCCCCTGCCTACATGTACTCTTCCGTCCCTAGGAAACACCTGCAGCATTTGGAGAAGGGGCTGAAGTGTCTTCAGAGTTGACCATTTCTCCATTGAAGTGTGGCATTGGAAAGATTGAAACTGAGTAAATTGGGTTCGTCATTGGAAATGGTGATAAAACCACAAGTAAATCTAATTGCAGGGATTGAGTCCTGTTCTAGAAAACTGATCATTTTTTTTGGTTATGGCGGGATTCTATCATTGACTGATTCACAATGGTCTAATTGGAACATTTGGAAGGAGAAGCTAACATGGCTTTTCAGGACCTGCGACAATCGCTTAACAGGCAAGTCCTGCAGAGTCCTACTTTTCATAAGACTAGGCAGTTTGGGAACATTTTATTTTATTTTTTGTTGACATTGCCCACTGAGCTTCATCCAGAGGCTTTTATCAGCCTCAAAGAAAGTAAGAGACAAGACAGAAGTACTGGCTAATAAAATAAGCCCTGAATTCCTCTCAACATTGCCTTCTTGGAGAGGAGTTTACCACCAGCCTCTTTGCTGAATAGAGAAAATGAAGGAGACAAAGGGTAGGATCAGACCTGGCAATCCAGGATTTCCGATTCACCATCAACCACATTCCCGACAAGGATAACTGCATTGCACCCTCGTGTAGAGGGGAGTATGTGATGGCTGCAGTTAGTCACACAAATTGGAATGAAGAGATAGGGAGGGAAAAAAATCACACAAAGAAGGAATGACACAGCCCAGGAAGCAACAGTAAACAATGAAGAAATGATCAAATAACAAAAGAAGGGATCCTTCATTTTAAACTCTGTTTGTATTGTGGATCATCTGCTCCTCCAGCAGGAGCAGAACACCCCAGCATGAATGACATGTGGAGCTCTAGAAAAGTCTCTCACCATAATGACAGCATGCCCTCTAGTGGTAATACTCAGTAATACACTATTCCTCTTTCAGCAATCCCTCCTTGCTGACAAGTCACTGGGATTTTTAGAGCTGCTGTTTCCTCTATCAGAATTTTTTGTTTTTGAAAAAAAAAAAATTGGAATTTAGAGAATATTTATTCTAAAGATTACTTCCTATAGCAGTACAGATGCTAGTTTTCAATCCAATCTCTATGTGAACAGGAGGCGCTGTACTTATATTCCAAACACTCAAGAAAAATATGCAACAAGACATTCTTTTTTTTTATAGACATTTATTGAAAATGCAGACAAATAGAAATTTTTTTAGGAGAGGGAGAAGACATGTTTGACAATCCATCTTTGTTAAAGAGAGAAAGATCAAGACATATCAAGAGACATAAATTAGTTTAGTTTATACAAGTGACATGCAATAAATAATAGCCAACTACAGTTTGACTGAAAGTACATTTGCTTCCATTTGTACATCACCCTACGCAGCTCAGAAGCAACGTCCTAAATTGATACCTCCTCTTTTGTTATGCACAAAAGCCAGTGAAAAGAGCGGACTATCAATTGGTAATACAAAAATAGAACCAGGTAGCATTTCAAACTTAGAAAGTTAAAGGACGAAAAGACAGCAAACACGACCGTGCGTTTCCTTTTGTGTCTCCGACCTCCTTTAGATGCACGGCTCCAGTATGAGCGCGAGGCAATATAATCCGGCATCTTTTGTTGGATCTCTTCTTTTGTTACAGAAATAAACCCCTTCCGACAAAGCACGGCGGAGAGCTGCGTGCGTATGCGGCGCAGACTGATGGGGCATGCGGGTAGCTCTGTGCCAGATAGAGAGCGACGTTTACAAAAAAAATAGTTTTTTTCTTTTACCTCGTTAAAAAAAGTGGACTGCAAACAGGCCTGAATTAGGTCTTGCTGGAAAGCACTAGAACAGTAGCTGCATCAAAGTTGGTTTGTAAACGTGGGTTTTTCTTTTAGGCTGCCTTCTCCTGCTGTGGGGTAAACCCAGCTAATATAGGGATGACCTCTGCCACCAAGATCGGTCTAATCTGCTGGACTGCAGTGCATCATTTCCTGTCACACATAATAAATGAGCCACTATAATAATAAAATCACCACTAACTTTTATTCCAAGGCAATGATGTCTTACAGAACTCATTTAAAATCATGTGGAATGACCTCACAGACACTATAATCTTGCGTTATGTACTTCACCATGAGCGGCAAGTCTAACTATGGGTTATGTTGATCCCTCTCCTCATTTCATTCTCTTTGTTTAGAAGCCGTTGAAGAAACCCTCTGCCCCGGTTGCTTCCTTAAAAGTCACCGTCAAAGAGTTCACCGTCACGTTCGTCACAATCACCTTCCCCGGACGTGGCGCTTCGGTTGGACCTTTGGGACGCTCGGAGGCTGTAACGATGACGCTCTGATTGTCGCTTCTCGCTTCATTCTTCTTCAGCTCAGATTCGTGGGGGACAGAGACGGCTTCGCCCGCCGTCTTGCCGGACCCCTGGAACCTCACTATCACTGAGGTTGCATTCTTCTTCTCCTCCTTTGGAGGCTCTGAACAGGCCTCCACACCTTTGGCCTCTGCCGAGTGTGACCTGCCACTCGGGGGGACCAAACCTTCTGGTTTGGCCTCAGATGCCAAGGTGTTGTCTTTTGATTGCTCCAGCGCATTTGTGTGATTTGGAATGGTAGCAAAGATTACTCCATTGGGCCACAGATCTGGGCTAACATTCTTCTCCTCCTCCTCCATGTCCATGTCCTCCTCCTCCAGGAACGGAGTAGAGCTGCACTCTGACTGACCTATAGGGAAAGGGAAAAAAAAGAAAAGAAAAGGTTGCTATACATACGGATCACATCTAATATGTTCTGCAGCATAATCCAAAGCTTGGTGAACTGACCATATAAGCTGTCTCCACATCTTTCTTCAGTGTTGCTGTCACATCCATTCTTCTCCTCCTCACTGGTCCCGCCCCAATCCTTCTCCATCAGCCCCAACTTCATCTTTTGCCCATGGAAGGACTTTGAGTGTTTTGAGTAGACTTTGGTCACTCTTTGTCTGCTCCTCCTCCTGGCTTGGCGCCGACACGCCTGCTCCACGTCCGTGCTCATGGATCTGGTGAGGGACAGGCGCAGGCGGGGCGGTGGCTTCTCATCATCCTTGTGGGCGCTCCGGAGGTCCATACCAAAGATGTTCTGCAGAAGACCAGCCACAGGATCAGCAGGGGAACAATGATTGCTGGTTTACAAAACTGCTTTTCTACATTCCAGATGCAAAACACTCTTTCAACTTCCATTAATATATTACTAAACTTAGTTTAAGCAGCAGAGCAGTGGTGAATGTAAGGGTGCACATGTTTCAGCCCTTTCTTCCTGACTTCCTACCTGCTTGAAGATCAGTAGTTTAAGCTGGATCCAACTTCACTAAAAAAAAGATAAACTACTCAAAGAACCAAAACCGCTTCCATAACAACCGAATGGTTGCCATGGTGATGTAAACAGGGCTGTATCGGCTTAAAAATAATGCCTTGGTTTGGAATCTTTATAATGATAATAATAAAGTTAGTTTATGATTTAATCTGCGTTTGCAATTAGAGTATTTCGATTCAAAAGCAAACTCTGAACCAAAAATAAAAAAGTAAAATAGGAAAGTAGGTAAAGACACTCTACAGAACTTGATCCACTGAAACAAATGATCAAATAAAACAGTCTCTTTAAACTAGTATAATAATGATAATAATAAAAAATAATACTATAAAATCTATAGCATTAGTAAACTTTCTCAGTTTTTTTATGATTATTTCTAATGTGTCCAAATCTATAGTTTGAAAGGTAAAGCTAACCTTATACATGAGCCAATATAATCCTATTTAAAGCCTTTGTTTGAAAAAGTCTGATTATGATTAAATACAAATAAATAAACATAGAAATTAGTAAATTAGGAACAGTTTGCTCATTCAACTTCCTGCAAACTATGCATAGTACAACACCACATTGCTCCGACTACTAAAGAAATGTTTTTACTTGTATGAAATAATTTGCTTTAAACACAGCAGCCTTTGGTTAACGGAAGAATATTTGAGCCCTATGACAGAAGGTTAGTGTCCTTACCCGCAGCACCAGCTTTCTGGGTCTGAGACCTTTCTTTCGAAAGCTCAGAGACCTGAGCTTCTCCTGACTGCAGAAAGACAAGATGCAGAGTAGAGGTGGAGGTCAGGGAAAGAGAAATTACAGACACCAAACTGTGAGGAAAAAAAAAACAGAAACCAAAAATGCCTCCACCATTACTCACTTCGCTTCGTAAGCCATGACCAAGAGAGGGTCCAAAATGTTGTCCTCTGGTTCCCAAGTGCTGTTCCTGCAAATACAAATACACTTAATGACTATCAATCCATCCATCTTTCTATGAATGATAAACATGGTGCATGAGTATCACTAAACACAATCTCATAAAGTTTCTAATTATATCTGGATTTGATGAGGTCTGGGGATGACTCAAGGATTACTCACTCTGGGGGCCATCCCTGCCATTTCAGTAGATACTCCACATGACCCTGAAGAGAGAGAAGGAGAGGGGAGGGGCGCATTAGAGGAGGGACCGCATTCAGTAAACCTACCATTTAAATGCATTCCTGTGTGCAGCTGACACCACTGCATGACAAATGCTGTGGCTGTCGCTTTAAATGTGGACCGAGGGAAGGAGGAGCATTAAGACTGTTGGAATTAGACTCCAAATATGTTCAGGAATACTGAAATCTATAAAAAATATTTGAAACTCATGCAATAAATGCAAATGTAAACCTTTTCAGGATTTTAGTGGCACCATGGTGCACAAGTATCAGCATAGCTCATCAAATACATCCTAACATTTGATTGGTTAAACCCACTTTGGACTATTTGGTAGAGAAGTGGGAGCACTGCCCCTTTAACTCTACGTAATACAAATGACACCTAAGATGATGCAGCATTTGAAACAGTTCAATAGTGAAACAATTACTATTGTCTTCTGATCTTTTTAAAAATTATTTCATTAATGAAATTCACATATGATCTTTTAAAATAACTTTGATCCATTTAAGTAGTTATGAGAACATTTAATCTGCTTTTATAAATAAGAGATTTGTTTCCAATTTCGTTTTAAATATCACATATTAACCTCGTTATGAATAAATCTATTACATTTTATCCTTCCTGCAACATGGCAACCAATAGAAGATCTGCTAAAAAGAGGCTTTTTATTTATTTCCCCTTAAATTATTTCATTTTTTCTTTTATTAAATAAGAACACACCATTATGAGCTAAAAGGGTATTTTTTATTGAACTGCGGCAGATTGGGAGCTGCTCATAGGAGCTTCGTAAACTTCTCCCTCCACGTTTGTTTCTTTCTGCAGGAAGACGTCAGTGGCGGGGGGGCTGCGTCGCATCCAATCAGCGGCCGCGGGCTCGCATTGCGATGACGTGCACGTTCTACGAGCGCTGTTTCCACCATGCAGGCCACTTTCTAGAACATTACACCGGTGGCTTGGATAGGTGGGGCCACGCGGGAACATGTAAACAAGTAATGTTGCGCAACGTTCACATCGGAAACTTGTTATCGGAGTGATGGTAGCAAAATAAATATATCAATAATAAAAAAAAAATTATAATAAAATAAAAAATATATATAATATAAAAACACGGCTCACGTGAGATATAAGTCATTCTTAAGCGATCAGAGAACAATATTGGCATTAAAATATTAATAACAGTGGAATTATATTGCACATTTCACTTTAATGCGTTTTTTTAATTTTTTTTTTAGAGGTCATGAGCTTAAAGACAAAGAGAGATGATTTGTAATAAAAATCAGTCTGCATTCACAACACTGAATAAGAGCATCCAGTCCGCGCGCTGGCGTAAATAATATAAAGTGAGCTGCAGCCTCGCTTTAAAAAGATACGCACACCCCCTTTCTTCCCATTTTACTACAACTGCGTAGGCTCCCCAAAACATGGCCATGCCGCAGGAGCCCAGCCGCTGCACAGCGCAGCTCTCAGGGGCTCAAACTGTGTCAAACTTTGTCGCAGATGCATTAAATGCATCAGCTTTCACGTTTTTCTCCGCACATTGTTATAGCGCAGTTTGTTCCGGAGGGAAATCCGTTAAAATATTAAGCCATATTTTTTATATAAATATATAAAATATTTTATTTCTATCGGATTTTGTTTTTAATCTGCAGGTGCGTTCCTTACCTTTCTGATTCTCTTCTTCGTAATTGACTCCACAGCGAACACTTGCTCTCCAATAGATGACAGCTCCATCGCAGCGCTCCAAACAGGACTCAACTGGATCTCTGCTTGTTTACTTCCCGAGCTGCGGGAGCCAAGTTGTACAATTCGGGTGGAAAAGAAGGACGGACTGATTTAAAAGAGGAAAAAAAAGCATACGGCTCGTCAAGTGTGTTTTTCCACGCTTGCCCCACCGACTGTGCCAGTTTTTTTCCGCTAAGCTTGATGCGCCTCCTCTCTTGCAGAAACTCCAGCTGCTCTCCTGCCTCAGTTTTTAAAATCTGCGACACATCGACGCTGGACAGCGCGCTGCTTTAAAGCGGGCGCGCCCCCTTTTCTGTTGCGTGGAGGGCCAAGCCCCCAACGAGCGTGCCCGCGGAGACGGGAGCGCGCAGAGAATAAGAGCAGGGTGCAGAGGAGGGACAGTGGATGGGGAGGGAGGAGGGACACACGGACAAGGTTACTGAGATCATATATCCATGGTGAAATTCCGTTTTTAAAGTTTTTCACTTAATCATGATTTATTTTCTTCAACTATATTTAAGCATTTTTTCTCGTAAGCTCTAAGAATATCTGGAATACCTCCACACTAAAAAGATATTTCTTACAAAAAATTAGGCTATATCTTTTTTTATTATAAGTTGCAAAAATATCAGTAGCCCCCCAAAATTATCTTTGAAATAAATATAACTCAAGTATTTTTGATCAATATGCTCCCCTGCCCTCTTTGTTCTCCTGGTCAGATAGTCTTAACATAAACATATTATTTTAATGAATTAAATTCAGTTTAAAATATGTTATTGATTCCAGAAGATAAATCAAATAAAGAAGAAAAATATTTCTTTTTTTTCTTTCATTCTTTATGTACCTTGTCTAAATTGTAAGGCTTAGCTTCTCCTACATGTAATGAGAGCAAAATAAAATTCACATTTCTGATAAATATGCATATAATGCACCACCCTGATATTATCAGTACCCACCATCTGGAACTAGGCTGGACAAAAAACATAGTTTTATCTTGTTACTACAGCAGGATGGCAAGGGAGGTCAGAGGCGTAGCCAGAAAACTTTAAAAATGGTGGCCAGGCACTAACCAATGTACACTGAGGGGTGGCCAAATGTGGATAGACACCAGAACCTCAGGGTCAAGCCAAAGATAAGACTAACTATACTTTCTTACAGCCTTTACTAACAAATAGATGCATATATTTAAACATCCGTGCTTTCTAGATAAAAGTTATAATGGATAAAATTATTTCAGGTTTGAGTGCCGGGTCGAACATCTTTTCCATTGTCATTACTTACTTACCTGTATCAATAATCATTTTACCAAAAAATTGATAATTACATGTACTAATATCTACATAAATTGATTATTTAATATGTTTTTATAAAAATAGTTATTTATCTATGATTTCACTAAAGACTCCTAGATGACTTTCAGAGACACATCATCTTCTCCCCATAGCATAACACAAAATCTATTTCTGAAAAGAGCATGTACTCATCATCTATTAAATCATATTTGAAAAAATAGTAAGTAATGTATGAAAAATGAAAATGAATATTCCACTTGAGAGTATTACTGCCGCCACCGACTGTATTAGAGGGAAAAAACGGTAGGGGTGGCCATAGGGATGGCCAATGATTTGCTAAGGGGGATCATGGCCACCCCTGGCCCCCCATTTAGCTCTGCCCCTGAGGGACGTAAAATAAAAATAAAAAGAGATCCAGAGAACTGTGACAAAAAAAAGCATTGGGGTCACCATGTATCCATACCAACTGTTGGAAGTTGTAAGTACACAATCTGTCCTACCATCAGATATTTGGACATTGCAAAACTTGAATTTTAGAAAAGACCCGCCCTTTCCACCTTCCAAAAAATTTACATGCACAACCCTGTACCAACTCCCACGTGCAAGAGCCCATTTCTCCTCCTGCACGCTCTGTTTAAAAGTTGCTGTTCTCATAGCTCATTCAAGCTTACTTTCCAAAAGAAGATTTGCATTTTTTCCACTACGTCAGACTCACCACCGCTAAGTGCAAATGGGGGCGAGCACGTAGGATGGCCTTATGTAAACATATCACCAGAATGATTGATAATTAGGACCACTTATTTAGATGCTCCACCCAGAAAATAAAATCCTCCACTATACCTTTAAAATTACATCTAATCATGATGGATATGGAAAGGAAAATATGTGGGAAAGCACCTCACATCCACTGGTAAATGGATCAGTGATGCTGTGGGCTTCCAGGAACCTTGTTAGACTCCATTGGGAAATAGAAACTGAAAAGACAAAACAAAACAGTTACATATCGGTGTTTGAACAGGACAGGACATAAGGTAACGACTGGAGCAGTACCAATCAATGTTCAAATAATCTTAATCAGAGGTACAAATAAGTATGGCCACCATTGTTTATTTATAGTAATATATCATGTCTGCCAGATATAAAGATAAAGACATATTTTCAGCCTGATCTGCTTTATCAAAAAGCTGATTTTTCAAAAAAAAAAAGAAGGTAAAACATCTTCAGTGACTCTAAACTGATGCTTATTTTAGCTCCATGTTTAGTATACAGACAAGAAAAGAGTCAGTTTTTACTTTGAACACTGAATCAGAAACCCACAAAGATTATTTATACATACTAATCCTTTAAAATACAGAAGTAGATCTTATCCCATCTTAGCTTCAAAGGCTGATCAGTAAGCAATGTGAGACGGCGTCCTCGCTGAACTTGTCAGTGAAACAGTGAGCTCATGTATTTTTATGTAATAGAAGTAAAGCCAGAAAAGATCAGAATCTGCAATTGAAATGACAGCCCCGCCTCACTTCTTCTTCAGTTTGATCCAAATATGGAACAAAAAACGGGGGAAAAAAGATGAGCGAAACGCTCAAATATAACCAAGCTGCTAATAGCAAATCCTCAATTTAGGGTTGGGCTATGATGAGGACTGCTTTCACAGATACTTCTTCAACTTTATAGCTGCTCTCTTCCTCATCCAGTCCCTGAGTGGAAGTATACGATAAAGGAAGTGCTGTAAAAACAACACCCAGAGTCCTGTTATCTTTTATTGGGGCGTCTGCGGATCACTTTACCGTAAACCATTCAGTAACTCCCCACATGCATGCAGTTTTTTACCCGCTTCCTATGGTTCACAGCCTCTCTGCACCTGGAAACCTCCTCACTTACAGGCACTGGATGCCATAGTAACTGTTGTTATGGAGACTGCAGAAAAGCAGAGTGATGAGGATGACGCGGCAGGAAGAGCCGTTGTAACAGCTGAAGGTTGAGAATTGATTTATTGACCTCTGACCTCCCTAGATTTGCTCCTGTGTGATTGAGAATATGATGATGACATATCTAGATCCGCCATCGTTTAGTCACTTGGTGTGTGCAGGTGTCTCCACCTTCAACCTCTCTTACTGGTGTCTTCAGCGAAAAGCTTTTCTGAAACTGCAGCTCCATTCTGTTCAGTTCACTCTTGCACTACAGTTTGAAACCTGAGGGGCGCGTAAACAAAGTGAAGCCTGGTGACCTCATCATGCCATCACCAGGGTTGTTTAGGAAACAAACCACGAGGATCAAGATGAATTTTGTACATGTTTTGGCAGATTGACTGGTAATCGGAAACAAAGAGTCAAAGTTATGGATAAAAAAAACATAGAACCCCAGTTAGAGATGTTTTAAAATCATTTAGGAACTTTTAAAACAAACAAAACATTTCTTTGTTGACCTAAATGGGCATTTTTCATATTTGTGGTTGGATATTTATAATAATAATAATAATAATAACTGAACTTTATTGATCTCACATTGGAGAAATTTACCTCTGCATTTAACCCATCCCCTGGGGGAGCAGAGGGCTGCCATCGTGGGGCCCCCGGGGAACAATCAGGGATTAAGGGTCTTGCTCAGAGACCCAGAGTGGCAGTATGTGGGAGTGGGGCTCAAACCCAGAACCTCATCATTCCAAGCCCTATGCCCTAACCCAGCGGGGATTGACCATTAGGCAATACTAGGCAGTTGCCTAGTGCCCCAAGTTCCTGGGGGCCCCATAAAACACTATCCCCTATTTGTGCACATTATGTTTTTAATAAAAATCCTTTTGCTAAAATGCCATCAGAACGCTTATAATATAAGGTAATATTAAAAAACTTTAATTCCTTTTGAGACAGCATGAAAAGTTCAAAAGAGTAAAAAACATATAGAGGAAAACAAGAAAAGGGACAATAAGCGAGGGACAAAACGTAAAACAAATAATGTATGTCTATTCTATTTAAATTTCTGTATCTGAATAATGGGTCTGTTTAATGTGTTGTCTTCTCAATTCAGAGGGCCCCCTGCCTGTCTTGCATAGACAGAAATGATGGGACTCATGTAAACTGGTTGGTTTCTAGAGTCTGAGAATTTTAGAAGCTTCATATTAGCTTCTTTTATTTCTTTTATACCAACTTCTGATGATATTTAAGATCACTGTCTGGATGGAATGCCAAACTATCTGGGTTTCTACCATCTTACCTAACTCGCTGCCTGCGGAGAAAACGATGCATTATTTGCCAACATCAAAAATCAGTGATGATGCAAATTATGTGCTGTAGTATTATATACAATTTTTAATACAATTATTCACATTCCTATCAACTAACAGAAACCTGGCGAGGGAACAATTAAATAGACCACCTGATCACATTCTGACACGGTACTGCTGGAGCTCACGTATCCTTATAAAGTTGATGATGTGGATCGATATTTCATTATTTTAATTTTGGTAATTTAAATGTTAATGGAATTTGATTGCTATTTTGATAAATGCATATATATAATTAATTAATTAATAATGTAAACTTTAAGATGCCTAAGTAGGCTCCAATGAAGCTTCATAAATACTAAACCATCTGGCAAGCATGGTGGTGGAAGGATCATGGTGAGGGTTTTTTGAGTTGTTGGTATCAGTGCATTGAATGAGATGGTTTAAATTATTAACCCAAAGGACTGTCTCCAAATTCTCCTTAAACAAAAAGATGGTTTGGTATTCCAGCAGGACAAAGATGCCAGATATGGAATGTGGTTTTAGGATGAATAAACCAGACTGGGATTGGGCATCCGGATTGACTCAGACCCCAAACGTGTGGAATAGGCGTAAAAACTTGTTCTGTGAGAGGAAATGAAGAAATGATCACCTTGAGAAGTGGAGAGAAATTCACTGTAATAACTGAGGGACACTCAGTGGGATCATTCTACTTTGTAGCAGAGAAAACAAACCTATCTTTAAAAAA